CTTGAGTTCATATAATATCGTGACAGGCAAAGATAAAAGAGACCATGGAAAAGGCCTTTTGGGACGGCATTGTTGAATCTATGAAACAAGACGAACCTGACTACAGCCGTGTTGTGGAGTTGATGAGGGAGGTGAGAGATGGAATTTGCGCAATGGCCCCTCATAGCTGGAGGCAAGAAATTAACGAATCCGTTGACCTGGAAATTCTCTCTCAGGTGTCCGATCGATAGTTATGTTTGATTGTGTGAGCTAATTTAGATAGAAAGAAAGAAAATTGACTTTTGGTTGTTTTGGTTCTTAGGTGCTCAATTCTGGGAAATTGGATATTGATTATCTTGGGAATATTCTAGAATATGTATTAGTCACTCTCCGGAAGCTCTCAACACCGGCCTATGAAGATGAACTGAAGAAAAAGCACCAACAGTTCATAAAAGATCTGGCAGAAACATGTCAAGTTAGCACTGGCCAACACTCACAGAATTCACAAGTGATTGCCTTGATCGAGGGGTTACGATTTGTTCTAGAACAAATTCAGGTCTTAATGCTGATGACCCTGTTATCTCCATTAGGATCTTTAATCAAATTATGTTGAGTAATACTAACTTTTGTCAAATTACGCTTTCTAATGCTTTTGTCCCACAGGATTTGAAGCGAGAAATCAGCAAAGCACGAATCAGGATGTTGGAACCACTCTTGAAGGGACCTGAGGCCTTATATTATCTGGGGAAAGCTTTCACCACACGTTTTGGGCAGCCTTTAAACGCTCTACCAACCTTACCTTTGACCAAAAAGTGGCTTTCAACTTCATGGCAAGTTAAAGACGAGGAATGGAACGAACACAAGAGTTTACTCTCGGAGTTGACGAAGAAAAATGGAAGCTCACCAAATTATCTTCCTTCAACCGCTCTTAGAACTGGAGGAAGCTCGCTAGTCAAAATGACGGGTGCTCAATCTGATATTTCATCTTCCAATTCGAAAGCCACAAGTTATATAGGTTAGTAATTATTAAAACAGAGTGTTGTTGTTATCATTACTGTAATTTGGGTCTGACTTTCAAAACGTCTTATTCGTTTGCTCCAGAAACAATCGATCCCCATTTGGAATGCAAAGGAGAGGAGATCGATTTATTGGTGAGGTTAGGTTTGTTGAAGTTGGTGAGCAAGATAGCTGGTCTAACCGAAAGAGAGCTGCCAGAGACTATGAGCCTTAATTTCATTCGTTTGAGAAGCGTGCAATCCCAAGTTCAGAAAATTATTGTAATCGCAACAAGGTATATATATTTGATTGAAACACAATATTCTTGGAAAGCAAAGAAAAAATTACAAATGCTCATTATATGTAAAAATTACTCGCAATTTTGTACTACGCAGCCTTTTAGTCTTGAGACAGACTCTCGTGAGCCAGCATGTAGTAAGCAGCCAGGCACAAATGGACAGCATATTATTGGACAGCTTCAAACGACTCTCGACATGTCTCGACTCCTCTCCCAATTCTGGTATTGCTGACATCATTGATGTACTCGTCTCGTCTGCAGATCAGGACAACATTGGACAACTGCTCGACTCGGCTAAGGTTCAGCCGATGAAGGAGATAATGTCTGGGATGTTGAGCAAGAGCCTTCAAGAAGATGACCCTGTTTTTGCTCGGGTTTCTCAGGCAGTTTACTTGGCCATGAGAGGGGTCGTTTTTGGAGGGACGGGAAAACGAGGGAGAGAATTGGCTGAGGTGGCATTGCAGAAGGTGGGGGCTGGTTTGCTCGTATATGACGTGGCGCGTGCTGGGGCTGTGCTGGTTGTGACGGCTAAGGTTTCGGTTATTGTTCATGGGCCTTGGTATGCGAATTTGACGAGAGAGTGAATTATATTGATTATAATGTAATTATATTATATCGATATAATGAAGAGTCAGTGTTTGATGGATCAGATATATGTGTACATAGCAATAAGGTCTTGTGAGTATATATGGTTGATTAATAAGTGGTTTTAAAAGTGTAGGTGGGATGTGTGTTTGATAACTGGAATTGCGTTATGGTTTGTGTAAAGGGAAAGTTGACTGTTGATTTGATGATTGAAATGTAAATATTTGAACAGATTGTCTATGGTATTTCTGGTTTTTGTTGTTATATTATGTCATCTCATTTTTTGCTTATTTTGAGTTCCCATTTTGATAAAATTTGGTCTTGGCTTAAAGACTATTAACAAAAAAGCACATTGTTGTGAGTATTGGCTGCAAACAAACTCAGCTCGAGCTCGAGTTGACTTTTGAGCATGTTATCGAGTCGATCTCGAGCATAAGTTTCGGAAGGGAGTGGCTCAAGATATGTAGTGAATAGTGAATTACTAAAATGCTCCTTACATAAATACAATATTTTATATATATGCTTAATGGTGATTTACTTGAAATTGAGTCGAACTTGAGCCGAGCTCGAACAATCTTTCGAGCATTTCAAATTCAATCAATCTCGAGCAGAGCTCGAGCGATTATCTTTTTTTGTCGAGTTGATCGTCATTTTTTTTTTCAAACAAAAACCTGCACATATTGTCTAATGGTTAAGCATGTTAACACCAACATTACAGCAACAATAATTCGTCCATAAACTAATAATTATTTTTCGGTAAATTTTCCACATAGGACTCAAATCACATAAATCCCAGCAGTGAATATCCTTACAAATACCTGATGCTAAAAATATAAGTTAACCCAGAAAGGAACAATGGGAATTCCGAAGGTTTAGCCTTCAGGCACCATAATCAAAATCCTTTAAAAATATAGTGAAATCCTGAAAATTTAAGCAGCTATGCGCTTTCAAACCCAAATATCCGAAACACGCCTGCACAAAAACAAAATAAAAAACGTTCAAAAGTTGAAATTATTTCAATTATATATAGAGAGAGAGAAACAAGTCGAGTAATTGTTTTTATATTGTTTTGATAGAGAGATATACCTTCATCAGCTTGGTATTTATTTTTATCGTCCCCAGCATATGCAAGCAAGTTGTACTTTGGATTCCATTCGACACTGTTCATTGCAGCCCGGCATGGAATCTGGTGAACTGACCGGCCCGTTTGGACATTGGCCTGTGGCACAAAAAAAACAAACAAAAAAAGGAAAAAAAGATATATATGATGATTGCATGAGGATCTGTATTCTGCTGGATAATTTTTGACAAATGATAGTAAGTTCATAAATATTTACAATATCAATGAACAGATCCTCGCTGGCCGAAGCTATATATTCTCCAGTGTGATTGAAACTAATTGTCCGAACGGGCCATCTGGTCCCATATATCGAAAAAAAAAAAAAATTTAATTATGAGGGTCATCTCAGCAACAATGTAATAAAAGTAAAGTGTGCTAAACGATGCAGAAAAAAGTCCACAACAAAACTCAACGAACAAGTATAAACTTACTCGAGTTTTGTGAATGTACGTACACAGAGCATCTCTTTTATATCCCAAAGGCTGACTAGAGAATCAGCACTCCCTACAGCAAAATATCTGTGCCAGGAAAAAATAATTTTTTACCCCCATATTTCTTTACGACATAAAACAGTATAACTGCCACGCTTATTCTATTTGATCTTATTTTCAAAAGGTTAAAAAAAAAAAGGAATTACGTAAGGATTGGAGATTGCACCTTCCCAATGGGTCAATTGCAATGCAGTAGCAGCCTGCTGTGTGGGCCATAAGGGTACTAACGGCACGAAGTGAAGGGTATGAAAGCACTTCCACAGTACCTATAAATGGACCATAATCATGTGGCTGGGGTCATAATTCCGAAGTACATTAAAAATCGGCAAACTGGAAAAAACCAACAAAAATTGGACCTTTATCCACAGAATGAATGACTTTAACTTCTTACCATTTCCGGTAGTTAAAAAGAACATATCACCAGTTATGTTCCACGCAATCTCATTCACCTGGAAAAGCCAACACAATGGCAAAATTTGAAAAAATGAAGTGCAGAATGTTATGAAAAGAGTTTCCTATTTAAATACATGTACAACATTAGTACAACTGTATTGCAAGAAGAAAACAATTTTGAACGAAGTAAAAATCGAACTATAGATCACAACTTTCATGCAGCAGCTTGAGTAGTTTAATACGAAAGACTTTTTAATGCACGTGATTGTTTCACTCGCNACAAAAAAAAAGGAGGCCAACAACTATTGAAGGCACAGAAAACACTTAGCAGGAAAGAACAAACAAGCAATCAAGATACTGAAAACAATTTACAGTCAGCTTAGTAAAGCTGATAATGAATATCTTTTACCTCATAGTTGAATTTGCGTTTATGTATGGGCTTGAATTTGCGTACATCCATTATGGTTAGCTCATCATCCTGGTGTACATCCAAGAAAAAGAAGGGAAGAAAAGAGCAGGGGGAGAAAAGGAAAAACAAAACAAAAAAAAAAACAATATCAAATTCTGAAAGTAATGAGAAGCATGCATCCCAGAAGAGCTGCCAAGAACGGAACATATGCAAAGAAATGAATATTGGCCAAAAAATAAAAATAAAAATCATTTACCCTATTCCCAACAGCTATATGAGTCCCATCAGGCTTGTAAGTTATATTTATGTTTTCCCCACTGAGTTCTGCCTGCTGAGTGCATTTTCCACCTGGTAAATAACGTAAATTGCGAAAAACTTCAAACCCCAATATTGGCAGAAAAAGGATTAGGAATCGACAATACTAATCTGAATTTTCAACCAGAAAAATAAAACAAAAGGAGTGATATATAGATCAGTTGAAATACAAAAGCTTCTCCAAAAACAAGATCAAACACGTCTGGCCTAAGTGGACACGTACTATTTCAAATATTTTATTTACAAAAAACCGAACAAGCTAACGTAAAATAAACAATTAACTTACTTCGTGCATCCCACAAGCGGACAGTTTTGTCCCCTGATGCAGTTGCAATCAAATCAGCGTGTTTTGGGTCCCAGCATAACTGATCCACACTATCTGTGTGCCCTTTGAGCTCAATGTCTTTAACCTTCCCCTATCATACAATCAAATAAATTAGCTGAGAGCGGAAAAATCAGCTAAAAAAAAACAGATCTTGCACATGAAAACTAACTCGTTAAATGAGCCGCAAGACACATGGATAACAAAAGGACTCTGAAAAGAAACTATACGCATTCGCAAATTGCAGCACTTAATCACAATCTAAGGTGTCTTCAAAATGTATTATAATCACATTTCGGGTCTACATCCTAAGTCCAAACCAATAAACATACACCATTAATCTAGTTACAGTAGCTGACACTCAACCAAAATGAAATAATTCGAATCGGAGATGATGTCTATAGAAACTAACAATTGGATGCTCATTAAAGAATCCAACTCGATCACTACACATTAATTACATTTACTAAAAATAACCAAAGGACTTCACCAAGAACTCTTAAACACATTGTTTACTCGCTCAGTTCTACGCCAACGCAATAAACCCTGGCCCCCAATTTGCAAAAACGCAACTTTTTCACATGGCTCTCGATTTACCACGAGGAGCTACGATTTGTTTCTGATAACACAAATGTCAGAAGAAATTACGAGGGATAAAACAATAACTGAAATCAAACCCAAAATCAGAAATCAAAACAAAAAGGGGAAAAACGTTCACTTGAGGAGAATCTCACATGCCCATGAGGTTCAATATGCCAAATTCGGGCCGTCTGATCAACGGAGCCCGAGGCCAGCTTCGTGCCCGAGCAATTCCAAGCCACCGAATGTACCTTTTTTAATCGCGCTATATGTGTTAATTTGATTTCGAGGTAACACTAACATGAACTGTAGAGAAACAAAAACAAATATTAGCCAAACAGATGAATAAATATGAAGAAGATATACCTTCTTCTTGTGGCCATGATACTCTCTGCTGTGTAGGGTTTTGAAGGGTAGAGTTTCCTCCATTTCTGTAAGTAGCTCCGACATTTTGCTACGGTCAAAGTAAGCCCGTCCATCGCCGGGTACCAATCAATATAAAAAATGTGAGGCCTTTATAATTATAAGAATTTGTTGCAGTTACCAAAATGTCCCTAGCTTATATGTTTACTGCTTGAGACTCTTTGATACGAGCATAGACCGCACCCGTTTCTTCATCAAATTCCTCCATTGCTTCATCAAATTCACTGCTAAGATATTTTATCCGTGAATAAGTCTCAAGGAGCCTAAGAATAGTCTATGTTCGTATCAAAGTGTTTTATGATTAATAGACATTTTATGCTCGTGTCAATGAACCTTATAGATAGTTTAAGCTCATATCATATGGAGCATTGTAGATAGTTTAGGCTCGTATCAAAGCGCATTGTAGATAGTTTAGACTCGTATCAAAAAGCATTATAGTTTAGGCTCGTATCAAAGAACATTTAAATTTGTAGATAGTTTAGGCTCTTATCAATTAGCTTGATGAAATTGATTTGATGGAGCTCTTAATGTAAATTGTCCTCTTGGAATTTGAGAAGAATATGATAGACAATTTTTGTTTTGTCCATATCAGAATATAATACCACTTGTGAGTTGTTCTATATCATTTATACATGGAAAATAAGTCTAACTTATAAGCTTAGTAGGCTACTCCTCATTCCACCAATTGGTTTTAAGATGGAACCTCAGCATGGCGCACCTAAGCTCACCTTGTTATGATGCGCTTCACGTGCGCGGGACCGCACCCGTCTCCCCCTGTTTCTTACAGCCACCATTTGGATGAATTTGATGAAGCTATGATTTTCGACGTTTTCAAGGCTTGAGGTGCCTTTCATCTTTAATTGCTCCCAAAGATCTTCAATCTCAATTTGAGAAATCCCCTACTTATAGGTGTAGGAGAGAAATTCTCGTAGAAAAAGTATTCAATTTGATTGGTCTTTCATTATTTGATATATTCTTTTTTCTTATTCTAAGAATTGACTTGGTTGGCAAGAAATATTTACTTTATTAATTATATATCTTATTTATCTTGAATTTATGTCAAAAAATAAATAAAGACATTAATTAATAAAATATTAAAATTTCGATGCCAACACTCTCTTCCCAAACCCTTTTCTCTTCGCTGCTTTTGGGACGGTCGACGTAGCTCAAAACCTTATTGTGCTCGTGTTGAAATTTGGCTTGTGCGCAAGCATGAAGACGTCCTTCCTGAGAACTACGTTGGTGGTGGTGTTGATCTCATGGCGGATCTCGACCATCGCCTTTTTGTCGTCGTTGGAGATGCTTCGGGATTGTAGATCTCTGGTGGAGGCTTGACCTGTGATTCGGGATAAGAAATCAATGAGTTAATTTGGAGAATTCAAAAGGCATTTGAACATATCGCCCAGTGAAAGCCATCGCCAATGAAGAAGAGTGAGGACTTGGACCCCGTGATTGGAGCAAGCCGTTCATCCTCACCGCCGAATGCTCTGAAACCGCTTTCGACATCCTCATAGACAACCAATTGCACACGGCGAGACGCTACACCGGTTGGGAGGACTACAGAACAACGGGAGCCAAGAAGCATGGCCTGTTGACGGGCGGCACCAAGGCGCCGCGGAGCGCCCCGCTGAGAGGAGCCTGCTAGAAGTGAAGGCTAGGTTTTACTGTTCACATGGGGGATTGCGATTTTTTATGAAAACGAGGGGATCTCACCTCTCACTTTTGGGTAGAGAGTGTTGAAATCATTTTTTGTTTCATTTTTTGGAATCTCAATTTTTCTTCAATAAACCCTATCATCTCCTTGCACATACTACTAAAATCTAAAAATCAAGCTCAGTTGTTCCTAAAAACGTGTCATCTAAACTCTCTAACTCCATTCAAATCCCAAGTACAATATAAAATGGCCTTGTCCATTCCCATCTCGACGCTCAAGGCCATCAATGTCGTGTTTTCCTCACAATAAAAAACAACGTATCGACTACCACTGGTTAGTTGAGATTCTTGGGATTAGGCAGTGGAAAATCGAGGTTCTTTGGTCACCATAGTTCGTCTTGGTCATCACCGTAGTCCGTCTTGGTCGTCTAATACCAGAAAGTCCTCCAGTAATCCACGATCACCCATTTGTCGGCATAAAAAATTGAGGTTGCTTGGTCTTGCTCAACACGTTCCTTTCCCCTACGTTGTGCAAGAATTTATGACCATTCTTTATGAGCTTTGTAATATGTAGCACTCATTTTTATGGTGCCTTTCTCCAAAAATTTCTCAGGGCTCCTTATAGCCATAGACGTCCTTGGTGGTATGAACTCGTCCGCTAGTCCACCCTCATCACTAGGTTTATCGAGGAATTCATCATTGTGATCCATACTCTCCTCGAGCTCGTGGATGCAGTCCTCATCGTCAGCGTCTTTCATGAGCCCTCCTCTCCGAAACCACATCATCAACTAGTATCATACAACTAGTAGCAATACTCATGACATTACTCTTCTACGTCTCATGGTCTCAACCCTCGTCGCTCATCTATTGCCTGCCTAACTCTCCCAAAACCGTATCATCAACCAACTACAAACAACTAGGAGCAACAGTCACGATGTCAAATTGATTACCTATGATTCTCTTCTCCAGTTCACGAACCCAATCCTCGTCGGTAGTCTCTTGGCATGCTCAACTCAACGAAAATTACATCATCAACAGACGATTGACAATTGCTCATGGAACGAATGCTCAAATTCAACTCATGCGGCACGACAATCGAACACGTATGATCCTAATAACTCGCTAGAACTTCATCGAAGCATAAAGAAGAATTATGATATTTCGTATGTATTTGTACAAAACTAATGGCCAAGTTGTAATACTCCATTATTATTTTATTATCCACTGTACGATACTATATTTTAATCACTGAATCTAAGTTTTCAACACGTTTTATTAAATTATATGCGATGATGCAGTTTTATTTTATTATTCATTACTAACTACTAAGAGCGTATTGGTAAGCACTATAAATTAACTTATGACTTATTTGGTTAACTTATAAACTTTCTGTGTACAAATAAATTTTATTTGGTATGACGAACTTTTTTAAAAAGTTTGAACTTATATTATAAGCTTTTTTTGGTAACTTTTTAAATTAGTTGTAGGAATTTTTATTACAACTAACTTGTCAACTAATTTTACTCAACACTTTTATCATATCAGTTAACTTTTCAGTCATAAGCCATAAGCTATCACCTATAGGTTAAAATTTCACTCATAAACTATTAACTAACTTATCAACTAATTTTACTACACTTAGCCTATTTATATATTACTTACTTTGTATCATTATTTATAATCATGTATGACATTATTTTTTTAATTTTATTTATACACTTAAAATCATTTTACTTTGTG